CTCTAGTTCCTCTTCCTCTTCGAAATCCTGCCTGTACTTCTGGTAGTTCTCAGTCCACATACTGCTGGAGCCTAGCTTGTAGGATTTTGAGCATAACTCTGCTAGCATGTGAAATGAGTGCAATGGTGCAGTAGTTTAAACATTCTTTGGCATTGCCCTTCTTTAGGATCAGAATGTAAACTGACCTTTTCCAATTCTGTGCCCACTGTTGAGTTTTCCAAATTTGCTGGCATATTGAGTGTAGCACTTAACTGCATCGTCTTTTAAGATTTTGAATAGCTCAGCTGGAATACTGTCACCTCCACTAGCTTTGTTGTTGCTCAGACTTCCTAAGGCCCATTTGACTTCACATTCCAGGATGTTTGGCTCAAGGTCAGTGACCACCCCATCGTGGTTGTCAGGGACGTTAAGCTCTTTCTTGTATAGTTCTTCTGTGTAATCTTGCCACCTCTTTTTAATCTCTTCTGCCTCTGTTAGGTCCCTGCCATTTTGGTCCTTTATCATGCCCATCTTTGCATGAAACGTTTCCTTCCTATCTCCAATTTTCTTTTTTTTTATAATAAGTTTGATTGAAAATCCTAATACAAAGAAAAACTAAAAACAACATCAGTCATCAGAAACATCAAACCTGCTGGGTCAGCCCCCACATTTTTTTCTATTTATGATAACTTAAAAACATATTTAAATCTATACGAAGTCCCGTTTCTCTAGCCAATAATAAAAAGAGTCCCAAGTTTGATAGAAATCAGTATCTTCTTTCTCCTTCAAAAACATGGTCAATCTGTCCATTTCTGCACAATCCAAGATCTTTTTTAGGATCAGTTCATCGGTGGGTGGTTCTTCACTTTTCCAGTGTTGGGCAAGTGCAATCCTCGCCACAGTAATTACATGTAAAATCAAGTACATTTCTTGTTTTCTAATATCAACAGATATAATGCCTAATAAGAAAACTTCAGGTTTAAAAGCTAAGGATTTTTGTAACATTTCCTCAAGACATTTATATATTTTAATCCAATACTTTTTCACATTATCGCAAGTCCATCACATATGATAGAAGGTACTCAATTTATGTTTACATTTCCAACATTCATTTGACATATTTGGAAACATCTTGGCTAGTCCATTTGGCGACAGATACCATCTATAAAACATTTTATACAAGTTTTCTTTATATGAAGTTGCTAATGTTACCTTAATATTTCTCTCCCACAGCTTTTGCCATTTTTCTAATTCAATATTATATCCAAAGTTTTGTGCCCACGTTATCATAGTTTCCTTAAACTATTCATCTTCCATTCTCCTATCTAGTAAGAAATTATATAGTCTTTAAATCATTTTCTCATCTGATTTAAGCATCATCTGATCAAATGCTGTTAAATTTTTATAAAAGCCCCACATTCTATAGTCTTTAGCATAACTCGATTGTATCTGCACCTTATGCCACCAAGAAATATTAGCTCCTTGTTCTTGTATTTCTTGATTCAATTTCAATGCTCCATCATTATCCAAAATGTCATCATATCTTATGATAGCTTCAAAGTTCAATGCATTTGGATATACATGAGCTTCCATAGGTGAAAGCCATCTTGGTAATTTATTATACAATTTTGCTTTTAACTTTTCCCACACCGACGTTAATGATTTCCTAATATAATGACTTAAAAAAGAGCCATGTACCTTAGCCGTTTCATACCACATATAAGCATGCCAACCCATTTGCAAATCATGCCCTTCAAAATACAAGATTCTCTTATTTCTTAAGGTTATCCATTCTTTTAGCCACATTAAAACAGAAGCTTGATAATACAGCATCCAATCAGGGAGACCAAAGCCCCCATTCTCTTTAGCCTCCTAAAGTATTTTTAGTTTAATCCTTGGTTTCTTCTTTCTCCATATAAATCTCGAGATTTAAAAATTTAAATCATCAAAAACTTTTCTGTCCATTTTTATGGGAATCATTTGGAATAGAAACAAAAGCTTTGGTAATACATTCATTTTAGCTAGTGCTATTCTTCCCAGCAAGGATAGTTGCAAATTAGCCCATTTTTCCAAATCACTCTTAATTTCCTTAAATAGTTTATCATAATTGTCTTCTTTCAGAGTGGTACACTTAGCTGTAAGATAAATTCCCAAGTATTTAACCTTTTTAACAATCTGAAAGTCTACTTGTTCCACCAGAGTTTTTCTCTGCTCTTGTGTGAGAATTTTTACTAGCAATTTCATCTTTTCTCTGTTTATTTTCATCCCAGTAACCTCGCCATACTCTTCAATCCTTTGTAGGAGTTTAGGCATTGTTACGAAGGGTTCCTCAGTTATGAAAACTAGGTCATCTGCAAATGCTTGCAATTTATAGCTTTCATCTCTAATTCTAGTACCTTTAATGTCCATATCATCCCTGATATTTCTGTTTAACACTTCTAAGATCAATATAAACAACAGTGGTGATAGCAGGCATCCTCATCTTGTACCCTTTTGTATATCTAGAATATTTGTAAATTCTCCATTGATTATAATCCTAGCAGACTGCTTTTGATAGATGCTTAATATCGCATTAATGAACATTTCACCAAACGCCATTTGAACTAGTTGTTGCTTCATAAATTGTGAATTAACATTGTCAAAAGCCTTCTGTGCGTCCATGAATAATAGTGCCATTGGTTTTTCCGTATTTATCTCATAATACTCTAAGATGTCCAGGATAGTTCTCATGTTACTCCTCATTTTTCTTTTAGGTAAGAAACTGTTTTGATCTGAGTGAATAAAGTCTGTTAAGTACTTTTTCAATCTTTCTGTCATTATGGAGGCAAAAATTTTATAATCCACATTTAATAGTGATATAGGTCTATAGTTTTGAATCTGCATCAAGTCCGTGTCTTCTTTCGGTATTAATGTAATATTTGCCTCTGTCCAAGTATTTGGTATTTTAGCATTTAACAATGCTGCATTACATATATCCTTAAGAAGCGTAGCAAAAATTCCTTCTAAGGATTTATAAAACTCTGCTGGTAGCCCATCTGGGCCAGGAGTTTTGTCATCCTTTTGTCTCTTAATTGCCTCTATTACTTCTGTGATTGTTACTTCTTGATTCAATACTTTTTGGCATTTCTCTGGTAACTTTGGCAGGTCTCCCTTTTGGATATATTCGTTTACTTTCTCAGTTGAAATCTCATCATTTTGGTATAGCTTTGCAAAGAAATCTTCTGCTATTTTCTTGATATGTATACTTTGTACTTGCAGTCGTCCTTCTCCATCCTTCAGTTTACTTATTAGTCTCTTCTCTCTTTCCTTCCTTACTTTATAGGCTAACCATCTCCCTGGTTTGTTAGCATTTTCAAAGAAGTTCTGTTTGGTCAATTTCATTTGCTTAGTGAGTTCGTTTGTATCCAGGAGGTTCAGTTTATGTTTTAGAATATTCATTTGTACCTTAAAGTCTTTTTTGGATGGATCTTCCTGTAATTCTTGTTCACATTTCGTCAATTCCTCTACTATTTTAGCTCGTTCTTGCTTTCTCCTTGTATTTATTTTTGCTGAGTATGCTATTATCAGCCCCCTGACATAGGCTTTGGCTGTATCCCAGACATTTTGCAAAGAGGTTTCTTCAGTTTTATTTATTTGAAAGAATATTTGCATTTCCTTATTTATCTCTTCTGTGAATTTTTTATCCTTTAATAAGGCTTTGTTTAACCTCCATCTGGACGTTTTTACTGTCCCTTTCAGTGACATAGTTACAGGGTTATGATCTGCCCAGACGTTTGCCTCTATTTCAGCTTCTAGCAGGTCTGGTACTAAGTCTGGGGTTATACGAACCATACCAATTCTAGACCACGACCTATGTCTATTTGAATAGAAAGTATATTTAGCAGAGCTTGGGTTTTTATGTCTCCAGACATCTATCAATCTGAATTCTTCAGTCATATTCGAACAAGACTTTGGAAGTATCCTCCTGCCTTTTCTGTCCTTAATCTCACTCTTATGATCCATTTTCTTCTCCACAGTTGCATTAAAGTCTCCCATTACACACACGGTCTGGTAGTCCAATTGTGAGAGTAAAGCATGTAGTTTTTGGTAGAACATTTCCTGATGGTCATTTGGGGCATAGATCGCCACTAAAAGCACCTTTTTAAGTTTCATTGTGATTTCAACCATCAGAATCCTACCATCCTCTTCAGCTAATATATGATTAGGGTCTAATTTTTCCTTGATGTATAATGCTAAACCTCTTTTCTTTTGAGAAGCGGAAGATTTCAATAGCTTTCCAAGCTTTAAACATTCCAAAAGCTTACTATGTTGTTTCTTAATATGTGTTGCTTATAGGCAAATTATATCTAATTTTGATTTTTGAAGTTGAGAGAAAATCCTTCTCCTCGTAGAGGGTCCGTTTAGTCCATTTACATTTAAAGAGAGCAGTTCAATTCTTCCTTCCCTTTTGAAAGCCATATTTAAAGAATATATATATATCCACTTATGCTTCGCCTTTACACTTCTACCTTTTTTCTTTTCCTTTAGTTCCAGTGTCTGTTCCTCTTGTAAGTCTGTATTCACTATTTCTCCTTCTTCAGAGTTGTATGCTGTTAGTTCCATTGGTTCAGCACCTTTCCCTCCTTCTTTTGGAGCACCCGATTCTTCCTCTTCAAATGTGCTTCTAAATTTTTCATAGAACTCTTGTGCCTTGAAGATTGAGTCCAGCTTGTATCTTGTAGAGTTCCAGGTGAAAAATATTCCTTCTGGAGTTAGCCACCTAAATATGATCTCTTTCTTAGTCAGCTTCGTAGTAAGGAATAAATATTTCTTTTGTCCTTCTCTAATCCTCCACGGTATTTGTTTCAAAACAGTCACCTCAGGATGATCATCCACCTTTAAAGGTTTAGCATGTACAGTCCTCAAAACATTGTCTCTTATAGACCTTTTTGCAAATTTAACATGGACTTCCCTCGGAAGCTTAAGTTTCCTAGCATAACTTGAATTCACTCTATAAACAAGGTCAATGTTTTTGTCCACCTCTTCGTTTTCCAGATCCAACACCTCTGCCAGCATAGTAATTATTAATTCCCTTAAGTCCTCATTCTTTCCTTCGGGTATGTTCTGGAATCTCAGATAATTAGATGCCTTCTCCATCTCTCATATACCAAGTGAATCCCATAATGACTTGCTTGTTTGTTTTATTAATTGTGTTTCTTTGTCTACTGTTTCAATTTTTTCATGGGCTTGTTGTATTTTTTGTGTATCCTGTTCAGTTTTAAGTTGAACGTCTGCCAGTTGGTTTGATACATCCTTAACAGAGCTGTCCAATTTATCAAGATGCACTCTTTGTTCATTTGCAAAGTTCAGTGCAGCTGACATGTTCCTCTGTTCTGCTAATATATTCCTCTGTTCTAAGCTTAATTTTGATATAGAATTTTGCATAGCCTCTTGGGATGCTTGCATAGCTGTTAAAGATGTTTGTATCGCCAAAAGAGTCATTTGTAGATCTTCTTGGTATTTTTCGGCATCTGCGGCTTTAGACTGGTGAGTTGGACTCTGAGCAGCTGATGTAGGTGCCGAAGAGGAGGAAGAGTATGTTTTTTTCACAGTGATGATAGTTTTTTGCTAGTAATTGCAAGGTAGCAACAAAAAAAGAGAAAGAAAAGAAGAAAAAAAATCTCCAAGAGAAAAGAGGAAGGAGTCTTGTTGTAAATCCAATAGCCACAGGGTGGCAGCAAAGAGTTATTTTATCTTTAGCCACAAGGAGGACTAAAAAAAGAAAATGTCTGTTCATCAAGATAAGTGAAGTTTGTTTTTCTATCACTTAATCTACAATAGTTTTTTATTCTGATTCTTCACCCTTGGGGAGATTAAAAAAAAGAAATCTTTCTTTCCAGCCTCATATTTTCCAAATCTCAGTTCCTCTCCCCTAGATTAGTCGCCGCTTAAACTCTGTGAGCTGTGGGGGGGGAATCCTCCCTCTGTCAAGGGGGCTTTTCTTTCTTTATTTGTCCTAATTAGTATCTGCTTCAGTTCTTTCATGGGTAATATTGGAAAAGGTAGAAATGCTCACCCAGCAGGTCCGATGAACTTCAAGCTGTTATTCTATGCTATATCTGGTCATCTATGGCTTGCAGGGAGCGGATCTCTCCCCTGTGTTGTTCAATTGAGAAAATCCCAAGTTTGTCCCAGTAAATGTGGAGCCACCACCCCACATCGCCCAGAAGTATGCTCGAGCTTCTATTCCCTGCCCCAACTGGGCTTGGATGAGCCTCTTGCAGCTCACTGTCAAACAAATTACCGGCATGATTACGGGAGTCCCCGTTCTTCACAGTCATCTCGCCACAATGTCCCCTGTCTCCAATTTTCTTGAGATCTCTAGTCCTCCCTATTCTGTTGTTTTCTTCTATTTCTTTGCACCGTTCATTTAAGAAGGCATTCTTATCTCTTCTAGCTATTCTCTGGAATTCTGAATTCAATTGGGTGTAACTTTCTCTTTCTCCCTTGCCTTTCGCTTCCCTTCTTTCCTCAGCTATTTGTGAAGCTTCCTCAGACAGCCATTTTGCTTTCTTGCATTTCTTTTTCTTTGGGATGGTTTTAGTTGCTACCTCTTGGACAATGTTGCAAACCTCCGTCCGTAGTTCTTCAGGCACTCTGTCTATCAGATCTAATTCCTTAAATCTATTTGTCACCTCTACTGTATATTCATCAGGGATATGATTTAGGTCATATCCCTGATGAGTGGTCTAGTGTTTTTCCCTACTCTCTTCAATTTAAGCCTAAATTTTGCACCAAGAAGCTCATGATCTGAGCCACAGTCAGCTCCTGGTCTAGTTTTTACTGACTGTATAGAGCTTCTCCATCTTTGGCTGCAGAGCACATAGTCAATCTGATTTCTGGTGATGTCCATGTGTAAAGTCTTCTCTGGAGTTGTTGGAAAAGAGTGTTTGCTATGGCCATCGTATTCTCTTGACAAAATTCTACCAGCCTGTGCCCTGCTTCATTTTGTACTCCAAGGCCAAACTTGCCTGTTATTCCGGTTAACTTTTGGTTTCCTACTTTAGCATTCCAATCCCCCATGATGATAAGGACATCATTTTTTGGTGTTAATTCTAGAAGGTGTTGTAGGCCTTCATAGAACCGGTCAACTTCAGCCTCTTCAGCACCAGTGGTTGGGGCATAGGCTTGGACTATTGTGATGTTGAATGGTTTTCCTTGGATTCGAACTGAGATCATTCTGTCATTTTGGAGATTGTATCCCAGTACTGCTTTTCCTACTCTTTTATTGACTATGAAGGCTACTCCATTTCTTCTGAGGGATTCTTGTCTGCAGTAGTATACCTGATGGTCATCTGAATTAAATTCCCCCATTCCTGTCCATTTTAGTTCACTGATTCCTAAGATGTCGATGTTCAGTCTTGTCATCTCTTGTTTGACCACGTCCAGCTTGCCTTGATTCATGGATCTTACATTCCAATTGTAGTGATTATCTTATTGTATATTTTATTTTTTTGCTAGCCCAGGGTATAAATATTTTAAAGGATGTAAAATGCCTATTACTATAACCACCAGGAGGAGGTCTTTCCAGGGTTCTCTGGGAACTGTATTGGGTCATGTAATACTCCCCTGCACCCATCCTGTGGAATGCTTGCTGGGAGGGCTAGCCTTGGGTCTACTTCTCACTGAGGTGGGAAGCTTGTCTCTGGGCTATGCCACACCAGACTGGAGATGAGACCTCATGTGACTGTCTGTTGCTCCATACAAAAATATTCCATGCCTATAGAAAACTAGCATTCTAGGGAAAGTCTTTATGACAACCAGTTTTCTATTTGGAGGGATTTGGTTTGCTAAACTTCAGTTTCAAATTGGCAGACAGGTTTTGCTTGTTTTACATTAGTCTTGAATTGCATGCAAGTCTTCTGTTTTCTTTAGACAAGTGAATGCCAGTTATTTTTTTATGCAAGAAAAGAAGTGCAGTTCGGGACATCACCAGGGTAGAGGTGCAACCTGCTCCCGGCTAACACCAGCCATTGAGAATCTAATCTCTTCATGTCTACCTCTATTCCTGGTTTATTTCTTGGTAATGCTAAAATGTGACAGCCTGTTGACTTCAACATGTATAATACACAGTGTTTATCTTTTGTTCTGCGTTCAAACAGTTAAATAAAAATCAACCATAATATTTTTTCAAAGAATATTATACAAAAAATATTTGGAGGAAAGCATTTCATCCTAATACATAATTTGGTTATTTTGACACACCAGAATCAGCACTGGATTGCTAATAGTGAATGCATCACTGCGAGCTATGTACCGTATTTTTCCGTCTATAAGATGTATAGGATGCCCCCCACTTTTCCTATCGATCTCCAGTGAGCAAGTGGCTGCTGCCGCCGTGCATGCTGCTTTGCCCCCTGCTCACACATGCCGCTTTGCCGCCCCCACGTGCAGTCACACCAGTCTCCCCCTCCCGAGCATGCCCCCCCTGTGTATAAGACACACCTCCATTTTTAGCTAAATGTTTTAAAGAAAAAGTAGTGTCTTATACATGGAAAAATACGGTATGTGGTTCTTATTCACTGATGTAGTGGTTAACCCTTTCCCATAGACAAATTTCATATTACAATAAAAATGATTGCCTTACAACCAAATGTTGGTGGATAACACAGACAAAAGATTTTTAAAATTATATAACATACATTAATCTGCTCACCATTACAAAGATGTCTGCATTATCACCCGACATTGGTTTGTGAATGATGACTGTTACGGTAATTACCATTCGCTGAATGTTTTTGCATGGCATTTCTCTCCAACCACCTGGTTTACATCTTTCACTCCTACCATGTGCCTAGAAATCTGCAAATTTGAGGTTGGTGCTTCTGATGAATTGGGCACCATTCATGAAATTTTATTCCTGAATAAATGTCTCAGTCTGTAAGGTGTCACATGACTCTTTACAGCCTGTTATGAATTAAAAGGTCGAGAGGTCGTTGAGGCCCCATCGGTGCGGGTGTTCAAGGATAGGCTGGACGTCCACATAGTGGGCATGTTGTGAGCGGAGCCGGCTGGTGCCGGAGGTCAGACTAGATGGCCCAGGAGACCCCTTCTGACTCGCTCTGTTTCTATGTTTCTAAAAGCATTTTGGAAGAGACAGAGCTTTTAGGAGAGGAAAGCTGACATTTAAAAAGTCTTATTGCAACTTCTTCTGAAGACCTACTTCTTAGGATTTAGTTCTTAGGCACATCTATTGCAAGAAATATTGGAGCACAAAACCAAACCACCAAGGTTGCATGTATTTTATAATATCTTTCAAAACATTAACTTTGTTTGAACACCCAGTATAAAACACAGTGTTGTGAGCCAAGTTACAGGCCAGGTCCAATTTGCATAATAATCACTTGGATGTGGATTATTGTCTCATCCAAACCTAGGTGGTCCACCTGAGAATTATTTGGCCCTGCAACAAGCCATACTATCTCTGCCTGGATGAGTAATTAGGGGGATGTAGGCCAGCACATGCCACTGATTAACACAAACTGATTTGTTATTTGATTGTGTGAATTGAATCAGTCTCTCACTCATTTATTTCTCCTGTGGCTTCCCCAATCCAGTGCCCTCCAGTTGTGTTGGACTACAACCTGCATCAGAACCTGCAGGTGTGACTTGTGATTGGGAATGGGTTCTGGTTTAAACATCTGCAGAGCACCAGGTTTGGGAAGGCTGCCTTATAGTGGAGAGGCTCAGGCAATATTTTAAGCTATGGTTGGCTATATGTGTCCCAGCTGATCATGCTTTCCTTGCCTGCAGTCTCCTGTCCTCAGTTGGTGTGGCATCCCCATGGTACCATACCAACTAGGGACAGGTGTGCAAGCTGCCCTTTGCTGCTTGGGGCTTGGGAAGGCAGTGTGAGGTAGGCACAGTAGTGGCAGCAAGTGCTCTGTGTGCCCCTGGAGATAAGCAGGGGAGAAAACAGGAAGAAGTGCCATCTCCCCATGCAAGGTGATCATGCTGGCTGATATGGGGGAGGTGTTTTCCATGAGGTGAGGAGAGGTACAAGCTGTCTGGTGCATACCTCCTGCCCCATTTCCTCCTCTCCCCAATATAGAGAGGGGAAACAGAGTGGGTTTGCTGAGTCTGGATTCAGACAAAATACTAAGCTAAGGGGGAGTAGGCATCACTATAAGACATCACTAGTTGTGGTGGTTTCTAAGTCCCTGGGAAACAGGGGGTTCAGATGACATGTTACTGCACCCCCTGGTTGCTCAGCATGCTATGTGAACCCAGTTGACAGTTATCAAAGAAAAGAAAGTTTGTTTAACAAAATAATCATAATCTCTGATCATCTTTTTTGTTTACCTTTTTACAGGCATGTGCATGGGAAGCTCATCCAGTCATATTGTCACCTTTGATGGACTGGACTTTAAACTCACAGGCAATTGCTCCTACACACTGTTTGAAGACAAAGAACATGACATTACGCTGGTTCTTCATAATGGGCCATGCAGTTCATCTTTGAGACTCAATTGCATGAATATCATTGAGGTTGCACACAAGGGTTCATCTATGCAACTCTACAGCAACATGACGGTAAGCCAATGTAATGGCATTATCATGGTAAGTCAAGTAAACAGATGGCTACCTTTTTATTTTACTTTGCCTGTTGGTAGCTATGAGGTCCCAGAAGCTTGATTGGTGACTAGCCATGTGTTTTAGAGTTTCAATGTAGCCAGTGTGAGAGAAACAGACCTTTGTAACTGGCTGGGAGAAGGAGCTTTGGGAGATTCTTGAAGCCAATAGCTTTTGAGAATTTCCAAAATGAAAGGAACATATGGCTTCCATTTTCTTTAGAAAAAAATAAACTACAGTGACAGAGTTAGGAGACTAGATGGCAGTCTTATGGTAAGGTCATTACAATTTTATTATAACACATGTGGCCTTTCCCTTGTTCTGCCTGAGGCAGAGCTTCCCTAATAGGTGAGAGGATGGAGAATGGGAGAGGAGAAATGGGAAGCTAGAAAGAGGAAAGAAGTGGAACTCTCTATTCCTTTTCCTCCCCTGGCTACCAAGCATAATACTTGGGGTTTGGGGAGGACAATGATGGCATTCATTAGTGTTATGCTGAAGGCCCAGTGGAGTCTAGCATATCCCTGATGGATTCCATCTCATACAGAAAAAGTCCTTTTAGCCACTGCTCATTAAACTTCCCACCCCCAGGGAAGTGTGGAACTGTAAGCTCATGGATACCGCTCACCATTTATTATTGGGAACAAGTGTTCTTCATAGTCATGCTTTAATCTAAGGCAAAGCAAAAGGTCGTCTTATTGGGGCATTCAGTGGCCTTTTGGCCACAGAATAGTCCCAGCTCTTTAGAACATGATAGGTCAAACAGTCCTATGGCTGCGGGAAGTAATCAGGCCAAAGATCTGCCTCCTGCAGCAATCTGTTTTCAACAGCCACACCTAATGCCTAGACACCCACAAGTAGTGCATGAATGGACTGGCTGCAGCACCTGAAGTTCAGAAGTAAAATATTTTTAAACTTCTGTTTTGCTATCTGTTTAGCAGTTGATAGATTAATTACCATGAAAGCATCATCTTAAGAACATGAGAAAAGCTATGTGGATCAGACCAATGATCCATCCAGTCCCACACTCCATTCACATGTTGGCAAACCAGCTGTCCACTGGCTCCCTCAAGAAAGATGGTTATAGGACTTCTACCTCCCCAAGCTCTTTAAAGCCATCTAAATTAGTGGCTATCACTACTTTCTGTGGAAGTGACTTCTATAGTTCACCTATGAGCTGTGTACTTCATTTATTTGTGCTAAATGTCCTACCCATCAGCTTCATAGGATGATCCTGCATTCTAGAATTATGCACCATGCAAAATTCTGAACACCTCTTTCATGCCATTCTTATTCAACTTTTTCCTAAGCTAAGCAATTGTAGCTGAATTGCTCCAGACTCTTGGTCATTTTTCACTGTCCATCTAGGCCCATTCAATAATGCCCTTTTTTATATGTGGTGACCAGAACTGTACATAAAATTCTCAATGCAGTGAAACCAAAAATTCATATAAGCGGAGTATGATCTTTGCAGCTTTATTTGCAGTTTCTTTCCTAATTTTCCTAGCTTTATTTTCAATTTTTTTTCCTAATTATATCTAACAAGGAGTTTGACTTTTTCACAGCAGCTGTGCAGAGTTGACATTTTCATTGAGCTGTCCACACCCTCCCCACAAGATTCCTTTCTTGATCAGTCCTTGATAGTTCCAAACCTATCAAACAATACAAATAACATGCATTTGTTGCACTGAATATTTATGCCCATTCTTCCAGCTTCGAGAGATCCCTCCTTAAATAGTTCAGTGTCATCAGCATATGTCGCCACCTCACTGTTCACTTCTAAATCCAGATCACTTATGAATAGGTTGAAAAGCATTGGTTCTAATATAGACCACCTGACAAACTTAGGGGTATTTTATTTATTTATTTTCTAGACAAAGGATTTACTTTTAGTTATTGGTTTAAACTTTATGCTTTGTGACTATGAAAAGGGAGAGCAGAATTCTCTGCAATGGTCTCCTTGCCCGATTGCCAAATTTGCTCAGTTGCTTAATTTGATTGTGAGCTGATGCTCTGTCACTGGGGCTCTTCATGCTTGGAGAACTGTAGCCTTCCAAGTCAGCCTTCTTATATAGCCCTAGGTAGGTTGGCCAAACTGCTGCTGAAGCCAGTCCTTTGTAAGCTGTGTTCTCATCCTAAGTTCAATTTTAGCTGAATCTTGGATCCCAATTGTTTCAAATTTGTGTACTTAGTTGTACCTAACCCTAACCCTGTTTTGCTGATCAACTGGTAATAAAGCCGTTTCCCATTTTTCTAAACAGGTTGCTGTGAATGGTGAAACAATAGCTGTTCCTTATATTGATGACCATGTTGCAGTTAATGTCTATGGAGCAATCATGCATGAAATCAAGTTCACTCATCTGGGACATATCCTCTCCTTCACTCCAAGCAGCAACGAGTTTACTTTTCAACTTAGCCCAAGCAGTTTTGCTTCTAAAACATACGGCCTTTGTGGTACGTTGGAAAATTGACAACTGAAGTGCTATTTTGATTGTTTAGCAATTAAGTTTCATTTAGTATAATATTTATATGCATATTATGTGGCAAGGTAATGTCTAAGATAAACAAGACTTTTACACTGACTTTCTCAGGGGCAAAATGTATAGTTGCTGCCAAGTGTAAGATGTGCCTGTCTGCAGTAGAGAGAAGAAAGAAGCAAAGACAGACCCAAGTCTGCATTTAGCTATAGTTATATCTTTAAGTGATTCCACTAGCCTCTCTACCTAAATAAATCAACACCTTTAGTAATCAGGCAAATGTACTTACAAAGCAATCATACATACTACTTTTAAGAAGTAAATCTCATGAAATTCAATAGGACTTATTCCCAGGTGAACGTGTGTAGCAGGGCAGGTGACTTCGAGGGATCAGAGAGCCACAATGGTGATGGAAGCAAAGTCTTTTATCTTGCACAAAAAACATTTTATAGGTGAACTGAAGATCCAGGAGTATTATTCTGCTTGCAAACAGGGAGCATGCTCCACAAATGCAAGCTTTACTTGCAAAATCACTGCAGTTTTTGCAGCTGCTGCAGCAAATTTTGTGGCAAATTGCTAAGGGGCAGGAGGAACCAGCTTAGGAGACCTGGGACATGTTGCCCAAGGCTGGTGTATGGGATGATGTATGAGTCTGCATCTGAGTTTTCAACTCAGGAGTGCATAATTAATAGCAACACCTAGATGTTAAGCTATGACTGATATTTCAATTTACAATTTTCTTATTAATTCTGAAGTAACACAAAACCTTTCTTCTTATGGAGAGACTTTGTTATCAGGGATTTCTGCCAGTAGCACCTTTTCAGATTCTAAGAACATGGCAAAAATGATGCAGAAATATAATTCCTGTAATTTTTCTGTTATTAAAGAGAAAGATGCAATAACAGGTTTTCCTCAAGATATTTTAACTCCCAGAACAATAGTTATTTATTTGTTATCTTGGCTTTTTTTCCTAGAAGGAACATAGTGCTCTTCCTTTCCATTTTATCTTCACAGCACCCCTGCGAGGAAAGTTAGGCTGAGAGACCATAAATGGCCCAAAGTCACTTAGGGAGATTCATGGCTAAATCAACAAGAATCTGGATTCCCAAGTCCTGTTCCAACACCCTCAGCACTGTGCCATGCTGGTTCTCCTACAATATGGCCACATTTCAATGCAACATGGACTTCCATTTTTGCAGCTCATTTCTCAGATTGAAGAAGTCAGGGGGCATTTGGGCGGGTTTTATTTTTACAGGGTTGGGGAAGTTCTCTGTCTCTCAGATATGAGGGGGCTTCCTGGGAAAGCAGCTGTGGCATTGCCTCTTTCCCTGCAAAAACCTTTCTGGGGCTTAGTTGCTCCACTGCCACAGGCAACAACAGAGCTACAATTGGCAGCCAGAAAGGTGCCAGCGCTCACCCCACAATGTCTTCTTGAGACACTATTTCCATCAGAGGGCTTGGATGTGGGAGAAGGCAGCAACCCCACTGGCCAGGCCTGCTGGCTACTGTTTCATGTAGCTCTATTGTAACTCATAGCAGTGCAACAACTAAGTTTGAGAAAAAGTAGATGGAGGGGGGAGGGGAGTCCTGTTTCTCCTTCAGTAAGCCCTTGCCACCAAAAGTCTTGAAAATGTCACCCCACTCTCTGAAAAACTTGAGACTTTTCTTCTCATGCTTCTCCAGGGTCCCTAATCTCTTCTCAGAAATAATCTCTCTGAGAAAATTTCAATTAGCATTACTTTTTCCAGTGAAATTAACATTATGGACTAACTGTATTCAAGCACTATAATAATGTACCAAAATGTAAAATCTATCTTGCTGCAAAGCATTTTCACTGCTTACAGAGCTGATTGCTCTGTTAAATAAGTCAGGATAGTTACATTGATCCTCTAGTGGGCTGGAAATCTGTAGAACCGGAAAGAAATGTAAAAATGTTGTTGGTGGAAAAAGTTGTTGCAATCATTTTCTCCAGCACACTGGCATACTGTGGCACTTTAAAGATTCAAGCAAGAACAGTAAACAACAGTTTTAGTAATTCTCCTATGAAAGTAGATTCTGGTCACAAGTATCTGTGATCACTTGTATCCTGAGAAGTGGGGAGAGAAAAGGTAGAATGAGTAGGCCCTTTTCATTTCTTACTGAATTGGGCTTGTCTGGTCTACAGAAAAAAACATAGAAATTGTTTGACTCAAGACCTGCTTTCTAATCCCAATTAAGGGATTCTTTTGGTATTATTAGAGGAGGGGAGAAATTTGTTTGGTTCACATTTCAATAAGAACTGACCTAATTCTTATATATTTATTTAGACAGCTTATATGCCACCCCCTTCGCATAAGCCTCGGGCGGCTTACAATCAGTTCTTGCTACCGAAACCAATACATGAATAAGAATGTAGCTATCCTTTCATCTTTAAACTTACCTGAATTTTGCGAAGCAGTTCTCTGGGGATTGGGGGGAGCTTACAAAATGCGTATGTTACAGAAAATAGCATTCCAAAGGACAGGAATTAGAGGATATTTCTTGTAAAGGCATGCATACTAAGGAATGTGTAGAAATGCTTGCACACATTAAAATGCCAGCAAAAATTCATATAAATTTTCCTGTGGACATTCAAACATTGGAAATAGGACTGAATGGACTTATGCTTGAAAAAAATGTGTGCATAGATCAGTTTGCCCCTTCTCGTTGTAATTTCAGCTCTCCACATGTAGAATATGATTTGTAACAACATGCATTACAAATATAGGCAGGACACGCTCCAACAAAGCTCAGGGAACCAAGGTTCCCTTTAGATGTCAGAAAGTACTTCCTGACAGTTAGGACCCCGAGGGTATGGAATGGACTTCCACAGGAGGTCGTTGAGGCCCCATCCCATGCATCACTGAACAAGCAACTAAAGGTCAACCAACTAGCAGCAATGATAGCAAAGCTTGCAAGAATAAGAGGGTTAGTTTTGGAAGACTCCCTGTTGCATGGGCTGGAAACCCATGGACTCATCAGGTATGCTGTCTCCAGGTTAGAGCTATAACTGAAAGACTGCCAGCAGTCACAGAGCCACTGATACATATCCCTTCTTTCTTATACATGTGGGAACAAATGACACTGCCAAGTGGAGCTTTGAAGTAATCACATCAGACTTTGGGAAGGAAAGTGAAGAGCTTTGGGGCCCAGATAGTTTCCTCCTCAATTTTTCCAGTTCTTGGAAGAGGAATAGAAAGGGAAAGAAAATTTTTTCAAGTGAATGCCTGGCTACAAAGTTGGTACTGACATGAGAGATTTGGATTCTGGGACCGTGGGCTACACTTCCTGGAAAATGGGCATTGGGCAAGGGATCAGTTGCACCTTACAAGGACTAGAATGAAGATCTTCATGCTATGAGAAAGTTTATTAGGAGGGCTTTAAACTGAATCCTGTTGGGGAGGGAGAACTATACCTGGGCATAACAGCAGAAAAAGGCTTCTGAGAGAGCAGCTCTAACAGTGCCCAGTAATCGTCTTTCAAAAATGTAGGAGAAACACTGTAGTATAAAGCATGTAGTCTTCGATTTCTATATACTAATGCCTGAAGTATTGGAAACAGACAGCTCAACTTGAATGCTTAATACATGAGGGTGAATATAGCCTGGTAGGTAGAATTGAAGGTTGGTGGGATGACTCTCATGACTGGATTCAACAATGGAAGGATATAGCCTGTCCAAGAAGAACAGCAGGAGCTAATACCCTGGAAGACAGAAAGAAGATTCTAGGTGATTGATAGGTTGGAATGCTGAGCTGAAAAGAACAGAATGAAATTCAGTAGGTGCAAGTAGGTCAAGTTCTTCACCTAGGAAAAGGTAACAAAATGCATCATTATAGGATGAGTATAGTTTGCTCAACAATATTGCAACTGAAAAGGATTTTGGAATTGTTCTAGATTACAAGCTGAATACGAGTCAACAATGTGAACTGGGTATGTTTTGCCCAGAGATGAAGGATAGGGTCTCTTGTCAATCATCCCCAAGTGCAGTACCCAATAATGGGCTCATTTTATTTTTATTATTATTATTATTATAACATTTCTATGCCGCCCCTTGCCGAAACCTCGGGGCGGCTTACAACATGATAAAATACATTGAAATACAATAGTACATAATAAATTACCATTAAATATAAAAATACAAAAAAATACATTGATTTACAAATACAAAATTAAAATTATCAGTATAAAATAAAAATATAGGAGGAGAAAGAGAAGGAAGAAGAAGTTGCCCAGGCCAGATCATATGCTTTAACAATTGAAATGATGTTTAAATAAAAAGGTCTTTACCTGGCGCCGAAAAACCAGTAACGACGGTGCCAGGCGGACCTCTTTGGGGAGTGAATTCCATAGGTTGGGCGCCACCTCAGAGAAAGCCCTCCTCCGGGTACTTACTCTCCTAATTTCTTTCATGGAGGGTTCCCGGAGAAGGGACTCTCCCGCAGATCTCAAAGGGCGGTCGGGCATATACGGACGTAAGTGCTCGTTCAGGTAGCCAGGACCCAAGCCGTTTAGGGCTTTGTAGGTCATAATCAACACCTTGAATTGGGCCCGGGCTTCAATGGGAAGCCAGTGAAGCTGATGGAGGACTGGAGTCATGTGAGCATAACGCCCCGTCCCCGTCAGCAACCTGGCAGCTCTATTTTGCACCAATTGAAGTGTTCGGACTGTCTTCAGGGGAAGCCCCACGTAAAGCGCGTTGCAGAAGTCTAGGCGGGAAGTCACCAGCGCGTGTGTCACCGTCGCCAGGCAGTCGTACTCCAGGTAGGGGCGCAGCTGATTAATCAGCCGAAGCTGAAGGAAGGCGTTCCTCGCTACCGCTGTCACCTGAGCTTCCAAAGAGAGCTCCGGGTCGAGGAGTACTCCTAAGCTGCGGACCTTATCCCTAAGAGGGAGTGTTGCACCATTCAGGACCAGGTCAAATCCACCCTCTCCGAAACCTGATCCGCCAACCAACAGGACCTCCGTCTTGTCTGGGTTGAGTTTCAGTTTATTGGCCCTCATCCATTTCCTTACCTCGGCCAAGCACCAGTTCAGCACAGCCACTGCCTCACCTGGCAAAGAGAGCCAGATTCTGGCTAGGTATTTGGAAAAAAAATCCTGACTGTTAAGCAGTATGACAATGGATTCAACTTCTTAGAGAGGTCTTCCAAACTAGAGGTATTCAAGATGCAACTGGACAGCCATGTGGGAGGGATGCTTTAAATGAAAGTCCTGCACTGAGTAGGGGGTTGGACCCAATAGCCCTTTGGCTCCTCCCAACTCTGCTATTCTATGATTCTATGAAAAGGAAGGACTGTCTACATAACAAGATTGATTCCACAGGAAGGAAATCCAAACAATGCACAACAATGGATACCCTAAAATTGCATTTTTCCTTCCCCCTCCTCTTTTTTATAATCAAGTAAATAGCACCCCTAAGGGGACAATTTAGATTTGCACTACAGCATGGAAGGGAACAGGATTTTACTTTTTTTTTTTCCTGATATCATCTCGGTGCCGATTTCCCCTATGACTACAGCTGGAAGAGTTTTCCTCCCATCAGCTGTCAAGTTCTAGATTGAGACCTTGGCAGTGGAAAACACTTAAAGCCTCTCTTTGCTTACCCTCCAGTTCTTATCTTTTAGGTTATCATCACATCAGGTTTGATCCTGAGTCTCAGTGCTCTCCCGGGACTCTAAGTGGAAATAGATAACATAGAAGCCAACATATATCAGCACTTGCCATGCCCAGCGACTTGATTTATCTTGGTCAAAGTTGCCCTGTGAACTCGCCTAAACTAGAACTTGGGGCAAACAGTCCCAAGTGCAATTTGCAGCATTTTTCCAGAGAACATTTAGCAAATGTAACCTGATAGGAAATTCAAGGCAAATCTGGAAGGTCTTGCTTAGATGAAGCAGCTCTAAGAATTTTGAGAAGCTAAAGAAGTTTTGTAAGTTTTCCTGTCTGAGTTAATGAATTTTAATGCTAAAACATTGTACATTTTAATGATAACATATTTATATTGATCACGTATTATTTTAATAACTCATATAATCCTTCTGTCTTTCCTTTAGGTGTTTGTGATCAAAACAGTGGGAATGACTTGATATTAAAGGATGGGTTCATTACAGCTGACAGCAGCATCTTCATTCAAGAATGGACAGTTAAGCAACCAGGGAAGGTCTGTGAGGTGAATCGAGCTGAGAGATGTGTTGAGCATGCCACTACCAAGTGCAGCATTTTGCTGTCTCCTCAGTTTTATGCTTGCCACCAAATCATTCCTCCAAACATGTTTTATGCAGCATGTGAAGAAAACAACTGCTATGGGGATGAAGTATGTGAGATTATATCAGCCTATGTCCACATTTGCAGAACTTATGGCATCTGTGTGGACTGGAGATCTCCAGACTTCTGTGGTAAGGACTGCGCTGCTTCAGTAATCCAACTCACTCCATGCACTACCTCACATTTCCTTTTACAGTATTTCAATCTCAGGCAAAACAGCAGGGTGATGCAGATTTTATTTATTTATTTTGGTATATCAATTCCCCATTCATGCACATATTTTGCTCTATAAAATTTCTACCCATTCAACTTCCCATTTTTATTTTGAATCAATGGGATAGTGAATGCATCATCTAAAACTTTGCAGGTTGGGTCAAGATTAAGAGTGGTCTTTGTTGAATCAGACCAAGGCTTATTCAGTTCTTTGTGGTCTGTGCATCATCTATATGGGTGCGGTGCCTGTGCAATACTTGCATTTTGGAAGATTCTCCTAGCTAAACCAAGAATTTTTGGTGGGAGCCTCGCTCCCTTCCCCCTTGTATTAATATGTGGTGATCCTGCCACTTTCCCCAGTTTTCTTTTGACCTCCATTTTGAGTGCCTCAGGACTTTCCTAGCTTTGCTATGATCAGCTACTTTTACCTCGTACTCCCTCTTGACTATTTACCTGATGCTTATCCTGTAACCTTTTCCATCACAAAGCCTTTATATATTTTTTCTTTTTCTTCCTCCCTCTTCCCCCACAAAAACCTTATTTAAGAAAACCCTTCTAAATAAGAAAACCCTTATTTAAGAAAACCATTCTTCCCTTTTCCTCCTCAGAATTGTAGAATAGTAAAGTTGGAAGGGGCCACAAAGGCCATCAAGTCCAACCCCCTGCTGTTGCAGGACACCATGTTACACCATCCCACTCAGATGGCTGTCCAGTTTCTTTTTGAATGTCTCTAGTATGGGAGAGCCCACCACCTATTTAGGCATCTGGTTCCACTCTCCTCAATGGCTCTCAAGGCAGCCTTTAGAAAATAAATACAGTGCAGGGTTAAAATGGTGTCTTTTGATGGACACTATGTGCCTTTTTTGTCTTCATGACACCTGCCCACACTGCCAGCCTTTTACCAAACAAGCCAGGAAGTACAAGGCAGGCCATCTAAAGACAATGTGGACTAGGGCTCTTATGGTGATGTAAGCCTTCACAGAAGACCCAAAATAGCCTGTCAATATCCCATGCAGCTCTGTCCACAGGGGCTCCACTGATAACTGCATCAGTGTCTGAGGTCTAAAACACAATGGACTTAAGTAGGCCTAAAACGGAGGAGAACAGGCCTCACAAAATGAGAGAGGAGTGGAAAATGGCAATAAAGAAGGACATGGTGAAGCCCAGGAAAAGGCCTAGACACTGCTCCCCAACTACCATGGAACATGCCCATTCACCTTTCCTACCAGCGGCCCTGGCTACCATCTTGATGCCAGCTCTGCAACTGATTTGTACTTCTCCTGCTACTCTGACTGTTCCTGCACTGGTCCAACTGGAAACACAACCTGAACTGACTGCAGCCCCCTCCTTCTCTGAATGGGAGATATGGAATTCACATCCCTGTTTTCCAACTGGTTTAATCATATCTCTAGCCCATTCAGTGCGCCCTCCACAATGGGACAGAGGAATGCAGTTGGGCTTCTCCACTAACACTTCTGTGTTATGAGACCATCTCCTGGCATCGTTGGAAACAAGGCTATGAAGGATCCGTGGCAGATACCAGCGCAACCTCATCCAATCTCATCACCTGGAGAGCATGTACTGAGTTTAAGAGTGGGACATCCAATGGAGCAAAGCTCAGGGAACCAAGGTTCCATTTGGATGCCAGGAAGCACTTCCTGATGGTCAGGACCCTGAGGGTGTGGAATGGGCTTCCACGAGAGGTCGTTGAGGCCCCATCGGTGCGGGTGTTCAAGGATAGGCTGGACGTCCACATGGTGGGCATGTCGTGAGCGGAGCCGGCTGGTGCCAGAGGTCAGACTAGATGACCCGGGAGACCCCTTCTGACTCGCTCTGTTTCTATGTTTCTATGTTTCTATCCCATTCCTCCTTCAGCACCCAAGGCCAGATTCAGTCATTGTGAAGTCAGATGGTCACAATGGGAATAGTCCATCCTGGCAAATTGTGAAAGGTATCATTTGAATGCAATGACAAGGAGATTCTATGTGATGATAGGACTAGACTTCTGCATATTGAACTATGAGATAACCATGGGGAGATATCAGGTCTTCCCTTGGCAGAAGATGGGAGTCCTAGCAGAGTTCCTCCCTGAACAACATCTAGAGCTCACTAGGGTATTCCAAGTGGAGGCACTCCAGCTCTCCAAGCAGCAGATCAATACTGCTCACCACCTCTTCAACTTGAGACTTCAGGGCACTTGTGTGGTAGTAATTTAGAGACATACCTGGCTTCAGGCAGCCAACCAGCCCCAAGAAATATTCCATCACAAACAGCAACAACAGTTGGCTCACCAGCATTGTGGAGAAGCACCATGTTTCCAGCAATTTAACAAATGAAGGCTAGATGCTGAGAAAAGATTTTGCTGACATGTAGCCCAAACCAGTCCATTATCCTCGGCACCATTTTTGTTTGAGGACCACCTTAAAAACTATATTCCTGAATGGGAAACCATAACAATGGATCAGTGGGTGCTATCCATAATGCAACATGGATATTGCATCAAGTTTGACACTTTACCACTGCTCAAAACAGTCCACATCACTCCACCCTCTCCAGCCCTAACAGAGGAAGTCAGTACCTTACTAGAAACAGGAGTTACCCTTCCCGTCCACCAATCCAATGTACTGTACACTATGGTTTCTTTTCCAATATTTCACTGTGGCTTCTGTCCAATACTGGACTTAAGGGATATCAATTAGTTTATCCCAAACAAAAAATTCTGAATGGTCTCTTTGTAGAACATTCTCCCCCTTCTATGCCAGGGGACTAGTTCAGATCATTAGATTTAAAGAATGCATATTATTATATATCCACCCACCAGGACTATTGCCACTTTTTAAGGTTTCAGATTGGCACTATACCTTACAAATTCCAAGTCCTATCGTTTGGACACTCTACAGCCCCAAGAGTATTTACAAAATGTAGTGGTTTTTGCCCATCTTCGATTGCAGGACATTCAGATATTCCCTTAATCTTGATGATTGGCTACTAGTTGCTCCTTCTAGGGAAGACTTCCTCTGTTCCATTCAAAAGATATGCAATCTACTGAAAAAACCTGGACTCTGTATTAACAATGAGAAATCTGTTCTTTTTCCTTCTCAGTCCATTCTATACATTGAGGCCTGTCTGGACTCCTCCCCAGCATGTGCTTACCTACCACCAGACCTCATACAGAAGCTCTCCAAGTCAGCCCACTGCCTTTACTCTGAACAAACTAACACCTGGAAGGTACAAAAAACACTTGAGTGTATGGCAGCCATTGTAGTGGTGGTACAATTTGCAAGGGTCTGCATGGGTCTACTTTAACTGTGGATCATCCTGGCACACTGCCCCTACTGCAACCCAGTCCCCAAGCCTTTGAAGCTCCCCCATTCCATGAAAGTGACACTGATGAAAGCAACCGAACCCTTAACTCCTCTTAATGCTATTGGTTCCATCCCTTACCATAACAACGGATTCATCACTCAGAATACAAAGCACAAGGTCTGTGGACTGAACAGGACCAGGGAAACACATCAACACCTTGAGTTCCTGGCAATCCACAAGGTGTTAATCTCATTGAGTGTCTCCTTGAGTACAGGCATATACAACTGGCCTCAGACAATACTACAGTAGTGTTTTACCTGAACAGAGTGGCACCAAGTCAGCCACATTGGTCTGACTCATGGTTCAGGTATGGGACTGGTGCCTTCAAAGGAACATTACGCTTGTGGCTGTCCACCTAGCTGTTACCCAAAACACCACAGTGGATACCCTCAGCAGGACACCAAATAAGACACATGAGTAAGAACTACATAGAGATCTTTGCTGCCTGGGGCAGACCATTCATAGTCCTGTTCATGATGCACAACAGCTTGGCATACAAAGCCTTTTGTTCCCAGGCTGGGATTGGACAAGACTCCCTTGGTGATGGCTTCCTTGTCCCATAGAAGGGGACCTTGTTCTACATGTTCCCACATTCTTTCTGACAACTGGATTACTCATGGAAAAAGAATGCATTCTGATAACTCCACGGTAGCCCAGACAAGCCTGCTTCACAAGTCTTCTTCAACTGTTGAACCATACTTTTCTTCATCTATCGAACACACTGGACATTATATCCCAGAATCAGGGCAGGATTCTACATTCAGATGTGAGAACACTCCATCTGTCAGCCTGGAGGATCACTTGGTAATGAATTGTACCTGAAATACAGCTTGTGGTGCAAGCAACACTCTGATCAAACACAAGGCACTCATATTCTACAAAATGGAACACATCTAAGATCTATGCTCAAGAACATAGATGCTCTGTTCCAAGCACCAATCCACAAAATCTTGGCTTTCCTTTATAACTTTCATGTTAAAGAACTAAAGCCATCATCTATTCAAGTGCACCTGTCTGCCATCTCGTCAATACAGGATCCCATCAATGATTCATCTATTTTTTTCTCACTTTCCAGATGATTCCTGAAAGATCTACACAATCTAAATGCACCTATGCAATCTGTTGTGCTGGGCTGGAGCCTATCTGCCATGCTGCAAGCTCTAATGAACCACTTGCCACTGTAGACCTACAACTCTTCTCCTGGAAGGTTGCATTTTTAGTCACTATTAGTTCAGCCCAAAGAGTGAGCGAGTTATATGCTCTATAGATAGACCCTCCTTTCCTTATTTTTCATAGCGATAAGGCGGTTCTGCAACTGGATCATGCATTTCTCCCAAAAGTTTCTTCACATTTCCATTTAAACCAAGACATAGTTCTACCAGGTTTCTTTCCAGCCCCTTCAACTCCTATTGCGACAACACTGCATACACTCAACATTTGGAGGGCACTAGCCTTTTAGATCATGCACCAAATCGGTGCCCTATTCCAAGAAACTGTTCACCTTTGGATTGCTCAGCATAGACTATGAACTGATCTGTCCTCAACAACTTGC